ATTTCCATTCTCCTTTGGAATGTATTTACAGCTTGCGGTATTTGAATGTTTCGGCCAATAAGCTGGAGAGCCTTCCTGCTGCCAGCCTATCAGAGGACAGCTTCAGCAGCCTGCAGGAGCTCTACGCCACCAATAATAGCTTGAACGATAAGTGTGTTCCTCTGCTGACAGCCCACAGCCTCCTCAGGGTTCTTCACCTCGCCTACAACCAGCTGCAGACCTTCACAGCTAGGTATAGAACAGAACTGCATGTGAACAAGTGCATGACAGGAGAACACTGAATTTAAACAAATTAACAAAAATGTTCAGCAAGTTCCCTGATATAACCTCCATCTCCTCACTTCAGTAAACTGGCTCGACTGGAGCAGCTGGAGGAGCTGGACCTGAGTGGCAACCGACTGAGAGCTGTGCCCACCACCATCCTCAGCTGTCAGCGTTTACACACACTCTCAGCCCACTCCAACTGCATCAATGCCTTCCCAGAGGTTTTGCAGCTTCCTGAGATCAAAGTGAGTCAGACACTGAGCACACTGATGGAGGCCGCTTGTTAAAAAATCCCAACATAATAAAAATACTTGGATTTTGTTCGATGGCTCCTAACACAAAGACTGTTGAAGTTCCAGGAAATTCTTTGTCCTGCCCCTGAAAATAGAGTTGACCCACCCAGTTTTCTTTCCCCTTCTCTAGTGTGTAGACCTGAGCTGCAATGAGCTGACCGAGGTGACTCTGCCAGAGACGCTCCCTCCAAAGCTACAGGAACTGGACCTCACAGGAAATCCTCGCCTCAACCTGGACCACAAGAGCCTGGAGCTCCTTAAGTAAGAACAATAAACATAAACAACACAGTGTGTCGGGCTCATATTTTATTTATTATTTACGTCTTCTTCTTTTTCTTCCCTGCAGTAATATCCGTTGTTTCAGAGTGGATCCATCACCATCTGCTACAAGTGGGAGTGAGAGTCATGGGGCCCCTGCAGTGTGGAGCCACGGTTACACTGAGGCCTCCGGAGTCAAAAACAAGTCAGTATTTTAACTTTTTTTTAATCACTCTCAACATTTTGTCATCTGACTTTTGTCAAAGACTGTAAGAACTTAGTGACCAAACTTTGTTAGGATTATTCAGCACTTTTCCATACAGTCTCAATAAATTACCGGAATGGCAGCAATAAAGTACAGAATAGCAGGAAAAACATTAAAAATGTATAAAACAGTTTTAAAGAGGCTGCTTTTTCTAGATCACTTTGTGAGGGATTATGAAAAAGCCCTGACTCAGCATCTCTGTTGCCACGCTAGCAAACAAATGAATGTGTTGTTTTGAGTCAGTGTTTAAATAAATAAATAAATAAAATAAATAAAAAAAATCTTGGTCAGCAGACCTGAGAAGTTGTCTGTTTGTGAGGTAATTTGTCTCCTTTACTGCCAAGAACCCGTACAGGTTCAGTACTGTATTAAACTCTATTCATTTACATTTGTTAGGAGAGCTTATGAATTTTTATATGAAATACTGTAGACTTCTGTTGGTACTTGCTGCTGGCGCACGGTTAAACCACACCTACACTGTGCTTATACACAGTGTAGCTTTACTTTAATTTAATACTGTAATAAGCTTTTAAAACAGGCATTGATTGATTTAACTGGTGGAAGTGCAATCCAGCTTTTTCCCAGGACAGTGAAAGCACCACAGGACCCAGCCCTTTTTTAAAAAAAAAAAAAAAAAAAAAAAACAACTGCATAGAAAAACGGAAAAAAAAGAAAACCTCTGTAGAGATGAGTTCACTCACTGAGTGACTGGTCTTCAACATAATGTCTTACTGAAGCTTAGTCCTAATTAAGAGTACGCTCCACCGTAGTATTAATTACACAGCGATGACTCACATTGTTCTGTTGTTCTAAGGCTGTGTGTGGCGGCTCTGGCTCTGGACAGTTTCTGTGGGACTCGTGAAGCTCTGTACGGCGTTTTCGACGGAGACAGGAATGTGGAGGTGCCTTACTTGCTGCAGTGCACCATGGGAGATGTCCTAGCAGAAGAGCTGCACAGGAGCCAGATGCAGGAAGATTACATGACCAACACCTTCCTCACCATGCAAAGGTACACACACACATATATATATAAAAACTATAACACATAAACATAATAATCTCTCACAAGTTGTATTTAGCCTCCATTTGTTTGTTTTGCTGCAGGAAACTGGGCACAGCAGGGCAGAGGATGGGAGGCTCTGCAGCTTTGTGCCACATCAGACACGGCCCTGTGGCTCCTGGCGAACACGGAGGCTGCTTTACACTCAAGGCTGCCAACGTTGGCAGGTGTCAGGCTGTTCTGTGCCGAGACGGCAGAGCCATGCAACTGTCCACAACACACACTGTCAAAGAAGTGTCAGAGTACCAGAGGGTGAGACAGCATAATGCCGTCATCACTGAGGTAAGGACTTTGAATTCTGTCTCTTCTGTGCGTGATTGACTCTGATTCTGTCTTTATTCATCTGCTGAAAACACCAAGATGAATAGCTAATATGAAAGGCTACTATTTAGACAGGAATTTGGTTAAGTTAAAGCAAGTTTGCCAAAAAAAGTTTTTATCAGCCTGGAATATTCAAGTTCAAGACAGCCAAAAGGTAGCCCACAGGGTCGTTTTGTTGGTAAAGTAACCAAATTGATTTTTTTTCTTCTGTAGGACAACAAAGTAAGTGGTGTAACTGACTCCACCAGGATTATGGGGTACTCCTTCCTGTGCCCGTCTGTGACCTCTAAACCCCACATCTCTACGGTGATGCTTACGCCTCAGGATGAGTTCTTTGTCCTCGGCAGCAGAGGACTGTGGGACATGTTGTCTCCGAGTGAAGCAGTCGACGCAATCAGGAATGTCCCGGATGCTCTGGCTGCAGCTAAAAAGCTGGTAACTCTGGCCCAAAGCTATGGCTGCTCCGACAGCCTAAGTGCTGTCGTAGTCCAACTCAACATCACTGAAGACTGTTGCTGCTTCTGTGAGCCACCGCCACCGCCCCCCAGCCCCGGCTTGGGACCACACACCAGCACCCATCATTACTCAGCAAGTGCTGACAGCACTATACCACTACCAGCAGCCTCCTCGGGAACAGTAAGTGAGCTAAGTAGTGAGTTCAGCACATCAGAAATGAGTAGCGAGGTGGGATCCACGGCATCGTCAGAGGAACCGCCACCTCAGACTGAAGCCTTAATGTCTCACCTCAATCTGCCGAGTCGAGCTGTCAGAAGACCTGCCTGTGGAGGAGGAAGCTTCCAGAGGCAGTTCTCTGGGGCGTTGTCTGACAATGGCCTAGACAGTGAGGATGAGGAGCCCATCGCTGGCGTCTTCTCAAATGGCAGCCGCGTTGAGGTGGAGGCTGACGTTCACTGTCTGTACCGTCACGAATGCCCGGCACCTCAAACACACACTCAGCCAGGACCAAGCATCCCGTCTGCCGCCGCCTTTTTTCACGAGCCATCACCATCTCCTCTTTCCTCTCAGACTCCTTCTCCAGTCCCTCCGTCCTCCCCCTATCTTAGCGGGGAGACCCGGTCTGGGACGCTGGGCCGCCGAGCTCGTGCCAATGGCTCTGTAGCCTGTCAAGCTAGGAACCAGGATCTGATCGAGGAGGCAGCCGACGCTCCCGTCAGGAAGCAGGGAGGTTACTTCAATGCTCCAGCACAGCCAGACCCCGACGACCAGCTGATCATTCCCCCAGAGCTGGAGGAAGAAGTTAGGCAGATTATCCAGCAGCAGCAGCAGGAGCAGATGCAGACACACACCCAGCAAGCACACAGCTACCAGAAACCTGCAGATTATTTTGTTACACCCCTTTAACTCTGGATCCTGTCCTCCCTGTGAGAGTGTGGACGCACAAACAGCCATGATGCTCGACATGGTGCTCATTTTTACCTCTCTGTTCAAAAAGATGCTAAATAATAGGCCTGTTACACCTGCAAGTGATGAGGACGCTGTTGCATTTGAACAAGAAATCCAGCTCTTATTAACACGTAGCACTAGTCTTTTGAGTTCAGCCATTACATGCTGAGTTGATCTGTTGTTTGGGAGTGCAGTCTACAAGTTGACTCAACATATGATTACAAGTGCTATGCAACATGAGCCACTTATTTACAAGACACCACAGTGTGTGCTTCCTTTAGGAACCTGCTCATTAACAAGTCTGTCAAACCCACCTCTTGAACAGTGCTTCATGTTATGTTACACTTGTAATAATATTTTGCTGAAGTTGAGAGACGAAGAGCACAATTGGAAGTCTGCAAAAAGCACAAAATAACTCTCTGCACCCACCAGCTTTGTAACTATTAAGCTGCATTCTCAACAGTAGAAAACCTCTGACCTTTTTTTTTTTTTTTCCTGAGAGTACTCTGAACAGCAATGCCATGTGTTGAATACAACCACATTTCTCCTTTAAACTCTGGCCACTAGGGCTCTGATGCAGCTATAGTTTGTGCAGCAGAAAGTGACTGCAAAATAATAAGAGCCAAGAAGAGAATGTTTGTTTTGGGGTAAGCACAATTTACAAAGAGCTTCTTCTATTTTTTTATAAGATTTGGATGTTCTGCAACAACCAACCGTAACATAAGACTGTGACACAGCTACGAGTCCTGGATACATGTTCAGACTCAGGCGTCGTCTGTGATTCTGATGCTGTTTATATACATAAACCGACAGTAAGCTGTTGCTGCTGCTGCTAAAGTGTCTTCTTTTGGGAGAATAAAAAAAAAATTCCTCCTCATTGGAATTTTGGACAGGGTTTTGACAACATGGGTGCAGCCCTACCTCCCAGTATCCTGAACATTCACACAGACCAGTGAGACTTTTGGTTACAGATTTTTATTATTATTATTAATATTATTTACTTTATTTTCTACTGCTAACGCTAAGGCCACCTTTGAAATACGATGCAAAAAGTTTTCTAACACTTCACGTTGACTAAATCTTCATTCATCATCATATCTTAATTTTTCCAGAAGCACTTTGAATGCTTTTCTATCAGACTCTCCAGTGTCCAATGGTACTGAGTGGAGATTTTTTTTGGACCATTTTGTTTTCTTGTGTTGAGGCAGCCTTAGTGTCCATGCAGAGTGGTGGCCTTGCAGTTTGTCGGAGTTAGTGAAACTGTTGAACTAACTCTGAGGAGTTACTTAATACTTAACGAGTGACTTAGTCACTGAAGCGTACTAATATTCTCTGAGAGAAAAGATTATTTTGGACGGCTGACTTTTTCCAGGTTTGTGTTGTCGTTGGCTGTGCAGAATTCAGAGTGACGCTGCAGTGGTGAGTAAATGGATCCGTCACTTCATGACCAGCTTGGTGAATGTTCTCTGAACAGTGTTACACACTTCTTTACAATGGCAAATCGCACAACAGAGCTACTTTTGCTATATAATAAATTAAAAGTTTCCAGATAATCACAACTTGTTGACTTTGACTGCTTTTGTTGAATGGATGATTCTCTATGGCTGCTTTTTTTTTTAATCCAAAACTAGGAATTGTTCAATTTTAGTCCTTAAACTGATGTTGCACAAAGGATGAGCAACAAAGTTAGCTTTCTGTCAGCTGACATGACATCTTCCTATTTTGTTTCCTGGTACAATCGTTGCATTGTGACAGTTGTGTGAAATGGTAAAATTAGACGGTGGGTAATTCCCTCACTGCAGAATTTCTTTTGTTAGTAGCTGAAGAGAACAGCCGTTACATCACTGCCGCTGTGTGTGTGCGTGGTGTATTGTGTGATAACAGTTGGCAGGAATCAGCCCTCGGTGGGAACAGTTGGCAAAGCAGGAGCTGCACATCTGTGTCTTTGACGCCCTCTACAGGCTGAACCATACAACGCCTCGTTTCACAGTAAGTAGCATTACATAAAAAAAAAATAAATAAATTGTCGAAGCCTAATCTGATTTGATATCTGTAGAGTTATTCATACCTAATGGTTAGTAGGGGGCAGTGTTTGCTTTCTTAAAAATTAACACATTAAATCTGAATAGATTTAATTTCAGTAGATACAATTTTAATATCAGAGTGCACATTAAGCTGTAGTGAAAAATGTCATTATAAAAGCTACATTATTAAAACTTACACAGGTTAAAACTCTCAAATCCCAGCATGGCTCAGAGTCTCGTGAACAAACACTTCAAATACCAGATGTCTATCACAGCATGGTGTAAACTGATTACATGAACAACTGAGCTAATCCATTTACTTTTACCAATCACAAACAAAGCATATGAGAAGTAAGGAAAGTTCCACATGAATCAATTAGTACCATACAAAAATTAAACAGGAAAATACATTTCATGGTGTCATTAAAAAAATATTTACACTGGATTGTTCATTTAACATGTTTTGTTCATGATGGCAGGCACAGAGCTTTTTCTTTTGTGCTGGTGGGTCTGTTGTCTGCAGGTGTCCCCCAGGATCGTGGTCAGAACTCGTGGGATCCAATGTTGAAGAAAACACAAAAATAAAATCTTGAGGCAATGGTTTGTTTTAAAATTTCATAATTAACCTTAATGTTCCTGGCTGACGATTAATGCCTCTGTGCCTGTGTGAGTGAAGCTTATATGTTGTGAACTGTTGCACTGCTATCAAGAAATTTTAGTCCTTAGGTTTAACTTTGATTCCTCACACAGCAGTTGTTTCGGCCCTCAGCGGGGCCCTTGGTCTCTCTGCGTCCCTGCGTTTCCTCTCCTGTAGGTAGCGCTTCACTCCTCTGATGGTCTGGACAGTGAGCACTGTTCCTACTATATACAGAATGGCTGTAATGAGTCCGAACAGAGCCACGGCTGCATCTCCCCCACTCACATCACAGTTCATCCAGGTGTATCCACTGCGAGCGTACAGCCTCTCCCGCTGCTGACACACATCTGTGGAGTTGACCCTGATGATAAAGTGCAGGTAGAGGCCGACAGCCACCACGTAGACCACAGCCCCCACTGCTTGGAACAACAACGCTCCCACCAGAAGCTTCCTCGTCATCAGGTGAGGTGGTTTGTTCCCAGCAACGACAAACAGCAGTGAGATGACAGCAAAGGTCAGGCTGAAGGCCAGGCCACCGTAGATCCCCGGCGCCCTCATCTGGCTGTACTGCATGTCCAGTTCTCGAGCTTTTTGCAGCTCAGTGCCCTGCATGTTGAGGTGGGAGTTAATATTGAACCCTCCCACACCAGCAGCGGAAGTTATTCCTGATGAGACCATGTGAGCTGCGATCACACAGATAAGCACCAGAGCGTTGGTCAACACGGCACAGATCAGGACGATACCTAGGAAGAAGGTCGGCATGTAACACAGGTAATGAGTAAGAAAGGAGAATCGACAAAAGGCTGTGTTTTTACAAGAAATTATAAATTCTTGCTCATGACTTTTCTTTTTTCTTGTCTGACAGGTGATGTTTCATGTCTTCTCTGGCTTCCTGTCGCTGTCTTGGCTGGAAATGAGCTTAATAACAGAGCCTATGAGCGTAAATTAGAAATTTGTGATTGGCTGCTAGTGCAGAAACTGAGACTTTTGAAAACCATGACGCAGTCACAAGGTTTCAATTTCTCATTGGTTTTTAATTAGCACCATCAGCACTATCACCTGTGAACAAAAAGCCCTGTTAACACCTGGTTTCACTTTCAACTTGTTCCATGACAGAAAGCACTATAACTGTCTTTGATTTTACTGGTTTCAATGCAGATTTGTAGCAGCACTGGTCAGAGTAGTAAACCCTTAATGACCATGTCATGGTTTAAGGTCTGAGGTGAAACTGTCACCTGGTTGCTGTTTGTTCTTTATTAGGAAACTACGTGATGATGTAACACTGAGGCCATAATGATAAAACTGTTTTAGCTGCAGGTGCACTGATGCTGCTGAAAGGAAAAGTAATAAATAGCTAGTATCGGTCTGAAGCCTCCTAACTACTGTGGGTCATGTTACACTGCTGAAGTCTATACCGTGACAAAACAGGGCGTGTACACAGGAGAGAACTAGTTGGTGCAGTATTTATAGATGATGGGAAGAGGAAATGTGGAAGTTCACAGTAAATTCTGTGACTGATGCTTTGGTTTTGATTTTTTTTTTTCCAAACGTTAGAAGTGTAAACTAGTGACTCACTCACCTCTCCTGGAGCAGATGTGTGTGCATTTGGAGCCCTCATGCTGCACTCGTGGGACTTCACGCACATGTTTGGGAGGTGAGTCTGTCTCTCTGGGGTAGTACGGTGGTCGAGAGGACGAGGATCTGTGAGACGGACACACGCTTGGTTTGAGTTTGGAAGTCGGTGACAGATTTTTATATGTGTTCAAGGATAAGAAATGGGTATAGGGCAGTGAAGTGTCCGTGTGAGGTTATTAAACACACCTGTCATCACGAGAGTCTCTATTATGTCGATGGTCCCCATTTTTATCCCGGTGTCCCCGGTTTGAACGGGGCGGATGACTCATTTCTGTTGACACCGAAAAGCACAAAGATACACACTGAGGTTAACTGATACTGAAAAGAAGGACATGTGCTGCATCATCATCATTATCATCTCCAACCAGTTTAGCCATAATATTTCAGCCCTAAAACACTCATTTCTAAAAGTAATACCCCTCACTCCCCCCAGTCACTGGACTGTGGTTCTGCCTGGTTCTAGTCTCTTAAGGTACACCATTCCTAACAATCCTGGAGTTTTCCATTGACGTGAACTTTTAACGCAATAAAAAACGTCTGAATCATCAGACAATAAAACGACAACAAACAACTATCGCAATTTGACGGGTCACAACTTTATTGTTTTAGGTCAAAAAATTGAGCCTCTTTTTTTTCCTTTGCTTTGCAAAACTGACCGCTGACGTCACAGCGTACTTATAACGTAAAGTAGCATCACATTTTTGGAATTATGACATCATGCGTGGTGAAATGTAATAAAAGTTTGATTTCAAAATCAAAATCGTCTAAATAAGTTTTACAGTCATTAAACGACATCTTCACAACAACACGATTAACCAACTTCGAAACCACCGAACAGGTTGTGTGAGATTTTTGTGTATATAATCGAATAAAAACTACGTGAAAGTTTCTTCACACGATTTATTTTAAACTGCGAACTTACTGTCAAGTCGGTAAAAGCTTAAGCGTCCGACTAAACCACCATAGTTGAGTGTTGAATCGGTCTTTTTCACTGCTGTTACGGGTCAAAACAGCTCCACCTTAGAAACCTGAGGGAAGACGAGGTTAGGTGTGGCGGAAAGAGGATATGACGTCAGTAAGGTCAGGAAGAGAGCACGACAGGTAGAAGAAGTGAAGGATAGTGGGAGCTGTATGGTCACAGTTAGAGAAAACCCACTGTTGTGGTGTTTTTGCCCTTTGAAAATCTGGATGCGGTTCAAGTCATTAGAAGCTGCTGTGAATCAGCCTCTTTGTCTGGAGTCAGTCCTACAGACGCCTCTGTGTCTGTAGGACTGATAACACGACCACGATTGTGAGGAATTGTGGATAACACGACCACGATTGTGAGGAATTGTTGACATTATGTTGGGACATTAAAATAAGTCTTCGGCTCTAAAGGCCGACGACTGTTTTGGTTGCCACACTGCAGTTAGTCGATGTAATCCAGAGTAAAAAGTATATTTTACTGTAGGACTGTCCAATAATCGCGTCTGTTTTAATATAAAAGTAAATGGTCAGATGTCCATTTTTTATTTTGAATTAGTAAGACTACAGCGTATCACACGACAACTTAACTTTAATCACACTAAATTTCAGGTTTTTACATTTATTTTGTTTTCGTTTAAACTGTAGTTCCACCAATGTCCGATAGATGACAGCACTTAAGCCGGCTGCGCTGCCACTGTGAAACAGTTCCGGGTTGAAAGCCAAGCTGTGTAAACAACAACATGAAGAGTAACGGTTGAATACAGTCTTCTCCTGTCAGTTGGATTCATCCTTTTTTAAATAATTTCTCCGCTAATGTCACTCTTTCGGACTGCGGCTCTCGGCGGCAGAGCTTTGGCCGCCGTGAGACGCCAGACTGCTGGCTACACCTGTTCCCGAAACATCGCTGCCTACATCCAAGGCCAGAGCCCTGAGCCCCGCATCAGAGAGTACTTCTACTACATCGACCACCAAGGACAGGTCAGTGTTAACACACCATTCGCCGTTTGTGTATTTTTAAGACAACTATAGTAGTACAACTGTTTAACGGTTGTTAAATGTTTGTTTGCAGCTTTTCCTTGATGACACTAAGGTGAAGAACTTTGTCACCTGCTTCAAAGGTACTAAAACCAACAGAAAAAATGAATCTTGAAAGTCATTTGGTTTATAAAGCCCCACAATTACACATCATATTTCTTCACAATGGAATTGACAGCATTTCCGTGACAACAAAATTTAGACTATCACCTCGGAAATCCTATAACTCTTGGAAAAATAATAATGTTTGTGTACACAATGTATATCAGATCGACATTTTAATTAATAAGGCAATATAGAGTAGAATGTGCTTTACAATTGCAGTATATATTGTTATATGTTGACTTGTCGCTGTCAGTCTTTGTGAATTTTTTTTTTAATTCTAGCGATGTCTCATGTGTTCATCAGATAAACAGTTCCTGGTCTTCTTCTTCACTCGCCTTCGGTCCAACCAGAGTGGTAGATATGGAGAAGACTTTCCTTTCATTTCCCTGTGTGGGAGAGAGAGGAATTTCCTGCGCTGTGACGACCGGCCTATAGTCTTCACCCAGCTGCTGCAGGGCGAGCAGCAGCTGCTGTCCTACTGCGGAGGGGCAGAGAAGCTGGTCGTCCCCTTCCGACCTGAAGCTCTCTTCATGCATCCCATAAGTGGCCGGCTGTATCATCCCTGCTCCGAGCGCTCAGGTGACGTCGGACTGGTCCGCTCAGCTCTGGCCATTGAACTGAGTCCATTTTTTGTTTATGCACAAGATCAGAGCCAATCAGGACAACCCACACATTTCCTATGGGGAGGACAGAAGCACATACTGACCAATGAGCTTGCAGGACACTTTCCTCCAGAACAAGAGGGTGTAGGAGAGCATGGAGAACTGGGATGAAGACGAGATCCAGGTCCAACATTAAGCACTTATAATAAACGTTTAGTAGCAGGAATTTACTGGTTGATGCTTGAAGGCAGTGGCCACCTGTCGTTCTCTAAAGGGAGCCAGGCCCCTAATGTTGTCCATCTCCATTTTCACAGCTCCAAAATTCTTTATCATCAGTCCTTCCATTTAGGGCAGATTATTATTAAGTATTCTGTTATAAGGTCAAGATAAAATGTGTTTTTCTTCATGTTTTGACATGATTAAACACTTGAAATGAATGGCAAGTATTTCACAATTCCCGTTATGAAGGAAAGTGTTTCCTCCAAAATAAATAAACCCTGTTGGGTGGGGCCTTGGGGTCGACCCTGTTGAGGCAGCAGGTCCATCCTGTTGGTTAGGGCCCAAGGCCCCACCCAACAGGGTGGACCTGAAGTAGCTTTATTCTTTCATACCTCAACACAGGAGAGCCAGCTCCTCAGGGCAGGACTCAGCTGTTCATCTACATCTTGAAGACAAAGGACACGTGGATGAGAATGTACATATCGTCGCCAGAGAACACAGATGGTCTGAGAGAGGGGTGAAGGAAGCCATCTACAATATCTGAAATATATCTACAATATTTCATTCACCTATAATGTACTAAGTTCTCACCCCAAAAATTTAAATCCCCTTCCTGAAAACATGACCACAGTTTCATTTCAAAGGACACCCAGCCAAAAGTGTCGGTCAGATAAAACTATTAGTCCATAGCTATGGTATCACTCCAATCTCTAACCTTGTGACATTCCACCATCCTTAGGATAGGGTGTGTTTAACAACACCTCCATTCCCCCTTTCTGCAACGGCCCCTTGTTACGGGCATGTAGTCAGAACTGAAGAGGCCTCTTGGGTGAGAGGAGAAACATCTTCAAAAAACCCCACTTCGTCTAGTTGCCCTCGATGTAACTATTTTTGGGTTAAGGGCAGAGGTGACATTTCGTTGTGTGCAGTGGTGCGCTTTTTCGCCATGACAAATAATTCACTTTCTAATTGGGACTTTGTTCTAGTAACGTTATCCTTTTTTCTCAGTAACGTTTCGACCTTATTCTCTTATATTTGCGAATATTGTGTTTTAACCGTCAAGATCACAATAAAAAAAGACTCGTGATACAGTTTTCTTCAATGTTAGTGTAAATTCGTAAAACACCAACGTTCGCTTCAGCATTAACCAAGTCCTGATCCCGGTCCTGGTCCTGTTCGTTCTATATATTTTTCGGAATTTGCCGACAGGATTCGCTGTTACAGTTTGCGTGACTTTAAGTCAGAGGCAATACTACTGTTAGGGTTGAGGCAGCAGCAGCTGGAGGGGGAGGAGGAAGAGGACGGGGACGGCGGAGGAGAAACTCCAAGTCCCAGAGACCTCGGCACCTCCAGTGGCGCTGCATCTGCTTGATCTGCTGGAGTCTGGACCGGATGGTTATGGCATCGTCTTCCAGCCGCACGTGTGTGGAAGTGGAGGCGATGGAGAGGTCGGTGCGACAGCGGGTTCCGCCGCTGCTCACCGACCTGTACCAGTTCACCATGGCGTACGCGTACTGGCGGACGGGCCGTCACCGGGAGCCAGCGGTGTTCGAGCTGTTCTTCAGAAACAGCCCGTTCGACGGCGGATTCGCGCTGTTCGTCGGTCTGCACGACTGTCAACTCTTCCTGCGCAGCTTCCGCTTCTCACTCCAAGGTAAGAAAGTCACTTGTACACAACGTTTTGTTTGTTATGATGCATTTTTCTTAACCTTAAGGGACACCGAGTCTTTTGCGCAACCGTCTTACGTAAACTCCTTGAGGGCACCAGCCTTTGGCTTACATTCAGTGACTGTGTGTAGTTAGAAAAAAGTTCAGCATTAGAGCTTATCTGCGGACTTTAGAACTCAGAATGCTGTGCTATTTGCCTTTAGGAGGAAGACATTCAGCGCCATGTCAGTGCATGCAAACGCAATTATGTATTATTTTAATTTTTTTATAGTTTTATCTGTATTGTCATTGTACCACGAGTGACCATATGCGACAAACACAAGGCCCGCGGAACAAATGCGGACCGCCAAGTCATTTTATCTGTCCCGCGGGAAAGTGTTTAATTGCCACTTTACTCCTCAAACATATTGTTTAAATAATCCACACAGTACCATCACACATTACGGACTGCAAGAGCAGTGTCAGTAGTATCCAAAATGTGGGCTGTATGTCTTCACCCACACCTGGATCTCAGTAGCCTTAATTTAGATAGATAGAACTTCATTAATCTCTCATCTCATGGTTTTTTTAATAGAATATAATATAATATTTAAGTAATTTTCCACACTGCTACATATTGATGTGACCGTTTTTACCATAAATACGCTCATGGGTTTGGGAACTTGGTGCAGTTGAACCTTAGAATTCTATCACTGTTGCTACTTTAGCCGGCTAACATAGCAGCATGCTACCAGAAGTGACTTCACTGTCAAGTCCAGCAGAATTGGATTAGCTGTGCAGAATATTATTAGATTTAGCGTCCTCTGCTGTTGACGTGTTTTTGGTGGGTGTTATGGAACATGTGGTGAGCGCCAGAATGACAGATGTCAATGAGTCGTGCTGATTTGTTGGAACCAGATGTGGATTTCCTGCGCACCATCCTGCCTCCGTCCACTGACCCAGGCTTTTTTGAGTACCTGCGGGACCTGGACTGCTCCGGTGTGACCGTCCGTTCAGTTCCTGAAGGCTCTGTCGTCTTTGGGAGGGTGAGATTTTTAGGGGAGTAATGTGAAACTACATGGGTGGACGTTGGTATTGATTGGTTTGTGTAACATTCGCTGCTGTCTGAAAACACCCACAGGTTCCACTGATGGAGGTGGCCGGTCCACTGGCTGTGGTTCAGCTGCTGGAGACCAGTTTACTTTGTCTGGTTAACTATGCCAGGTAAACACAGCATTACATCAGAGAGCTCCAATACCCACAAGTCCAAGCGTTAGGAAAAACTCCTCACACAAAGTCCTAAATACTGATACATTTACCGTCTTGAAAAGACATCACAGACTAGTACCAGGCCATGGATCATTTGGTACCAAGCCAAGGAAGAGAAAAAAAAATAGCATTTTATTTTGAATTATGACCTAATTCTGTAGCATTTGGACCTATTGGCGCCGATTCCGTGGTTGCTTTGGGGATATGTGTTTTACTGTGGTACAGTGTCGAAATAGCAAATAGCATAGAGTCCCGCAAGCACACAACAGCAGAAACATAAATTGACGCTCCTGGTTGGCCCAGTAGCCTAAATAATAAAATTAAAGAAAGAAAGCTGTAGTGTTTATCCTTCAGGAATTATATATTGTGTTATGTTCTTTTTATAAACATTCCTTTATAGTTACATTTCCATTAAAAAACTTTTTTTAAGGTCACACGGTCCCACAGTTTGTACAGTGACCTTATTTATTACCAAAAGAAAACCACAAGTTTATTGTTTCAACTTCTATTTTTTCTCCTGAAAAACATTACATCTGCATTTCTAGGTTTGTCACTACAGTACTGTGTATTTCCAGTGTATTTACCATCCTTCAGTCAGCCACAGCTGCTGTTTATTTCACAACATCTCTCCCATACTACAGGTTAATAACTACAGTTGTTCGTTTTTTTTAACTCTGATTATAGCCTGGTGTGTACAAACGCAGCCAGGTTCCGGCTGGCAGCTGGACCCAGGATGAAGCTGCTGGAGATGGGCCTCAGACGGGCCCAGGGGCCAGACGGGGGCCTCACTGCCTCCAGATACTCGTACATTGGCGGTAAAAGTTGATAAACTAGTCAAGCGAGTTCTCTCAGTGATAGTGTCAATACTGTGGGACAGTCAATCTGAGAATTAAAACAGTTACATTTGACATGTTAGCTATAATATTATTTCCCAGAATTCCTAGTAAAATTGACTGAACCCATGTTTTTTTCCCTTTCTTTCAGGGTTTGATCTCAGCAGTAACGTACAGGCTGGACTCCTGTATGGTGTTCCCGTCGCAGGGACCATCGCTCACTCCTACGTCACCTCCTTCACCTCCTTGGAGGAGGTTCACCCTCAAGTCAGTGTGTTTAAAAAAAAACAAACATTTAAGCAGCAATAGTGTAAAACACAACAAAACCTTTGACCTTTGTCTTACTACAGACTCTGGTACCAGCCGGTGGTGATCCTGACCCAGTGGACATCATCTCTCTGGCCAAGGGATGGTTGGGTCGTGTTTGTGAACTTCTGGGAGCGGCACCTGGGAAGATCAGAGAGGGAGAGTTGGCTGCTTTCTTGTCCTACGCCATCGCCTATCCACACAACTTCCTGGCTGTGATTGACAGCTATAGTGTTGTCAGGTAACGACCAAAAACTACAGAATCCAGGCACACCTAGTGATTAGAAACCCAGTCTCCTCAACATTAAGGGTTTTCCTGCTACTCTGTTCTTTAAGCTGTGAATTTTATTAAATTATACATCAATATGTGGTTTGCAGCCCAAGGCCTCGAAATGGTGTGGCGGGAGCCATCACCCTTTGGCCAACTAAAATTAGTTAACATGGACAGGGCCATTTGTAGTTGCATGGCCTTGCCTGTGGTTTGCGACCCATATGTTGTTTTTCTTTTTTAATTGTGCCCTCTGTAGTTGTCATGAACGAGCTTGTACAGGACACATATTGTGAGTGTATTCACTTTTTTTGTCTTGTCAGCAGTGGTCTGTTGAACTTCTGTGCCGTGGCCTTAACTCTGTGTGATCTGGGCTACAAGCCCCTGGGGGTCCGTCTGGACAGCGGGGACCTTTGCAAGCAGTCGTCCGAGATCCGTCGTGTCTTCAGACGCTGCAGTGAGCAGTGAGTGAGGTGCAGCGCTCCATGTGTGGAAGCAGCATGTGTCACAGCTGATTTGGACAACTGTTTAAATGTTGTTTGACTGTGTCTGTGCAGTTTCTCCGTCCCTGACTTTGACTCTCTGACGATTGTCGGGAGCAACAGCATCTCAGAGGACAATATGTTAGAATTTAACCAGGTGGCATTGTTTTTTATTTTCGTTGTTGCTGTTGCCACTTATTTTTGCGCCCTTGTAACTAAATCCTCTATTTTTGTTTCAGGAGAGTGAAATCAACACAGTTGGTATTGGAACACATCTGGTCACATGCACAAAACAACCCACACTTGGCTGTGTTTATAAGGTAAATCTTTCCTAGGAATGGTGCACATGAAATCTGGTCGCATTTTAAAAAAAAAAGTTGACTGACATTCTTATAATTGCCTCATAATTTATTTTGATAAAATAATTAAATTTGGATTTTAAATCTTTTAAATCTTTAAAATATTTGTAAATCTGAAAATGCATGTTATGTGAAGAAGTGTTTGTTTTCATTTTCCTTTTGTTGTACATCAAAAAATATGTAACTTCATCTTAATTTCATGAGAAGTCCTTCTCAGTATTTACCGTGTTTTAAACTCCCCCTGCTGGATAATGTTGGTATTACTCAGTTGGTCAACATGCTCAGTACAAACAGTAGTTTGTTATTGAAGTAGACGGGGGTCATGTGGGTGCTGTTGTCTGTCTGTGTGTATGAGTGGGGGTTGGGGAGCCGTTGGTGTTGATTATTTTTGTGTGGGTTTAATCATTGTTTACAGTGACCTTGTTTAATTTACCAGGTTGAAATATGTCAAAGAGTTCTTTGTTGAATGTCTTCAGTTTTGTATTGCTCTTGTGAACATTGTGATCGATATATGAAGGATAACAGTAACAATAATGAGTCCAGATTCTGATTCTGATTCCATGCCCCTGATGGCTGTAGTTGGTGGAGGTCCAAGGAAAACCCAGGATGAAGATCAGTGAAGACCCAGACAAGAGCACCCTACCTGGGAAGAAAGCAGTGTACAGACTCGTGGACAGTGATGGTGAGGATTAGTGACTGGTGGCTGAATGTATGTGTTGAATGTTAATTCAGATCTGGCCCACAGTGTAATTATATTTGGCCCACGAGATCATATCAAATATATACCAGAGTTGGCAAATGTATACTAGAGTCAGTATACAGCCTCTATATACTGGCAGGATTTGTAGTATTAGCGGTGTATGCGCTATATTACAGCAAATAAATTTTGGTTTTTTTTTAAATTACATTAAAAAGGACCTCAAAAGGCTACAGATAAAGAGACATAATAAGAAACAAATACCACTGACAACCTAAGACAATATTAAGCTTTTGTTGTTCAAGATTCAATTAAAGTTTGTCTCCATGTGAAAACATTCTACATTACGGATCTGGAGAGAAGGGAAAACATGCATTCATCCCAGTTTATAATCTTGGCCCACTGTGAATTTGAGTTTGACAGCCCTGCACTAGTGTATTTGTGCTCTTTCATTTTAATTCTACTAATGTTGTGCTAAAGCTATGTAATGCTTATGTGTGTACACTCCCTGTGTGTGTGCTGGCTGAGACCAGTACAAACTGTTCAGCTGTGACACTTCCACCTCTGCAGGCCATCCGTTTCTAGATCTTCTGTGTCTGTCGGTGGAGTCTCCCCCAGAGGCTGGAGCCTCACTGACCTGTTACCCCCTGGGACCTAACACCTCCTCAGTGTCCGTCACTCCAGCTCAGGTCGCTTGTCTTCGTCAGGAAGTATTTTCTAATGGCCAGGTGAGATGAAACTTTTGGTCCCTCCAATCTTAATGCAATTACACACTGTTAACCAGTCAATGTTTGCTGTGGTTGTTTTTTGTCCATTATTACATCATGCATAATAGTATTATTATTATTAATAATAACAATTATAATAATTTTTATTTTTATTCAGGATGTAACCATGGACAAAAACAAATATTAACAATAAAATAATAATTTCTTGTTGTTCTTATTATTATTCTTGTTCTTCTTCGTTGTTGTTCTTCGTCTTCTTCTTCTTTGTCTTCTTCTTCTTTGTCGTCGTCTTCTTCTTCATATTATTATTATTATTATTATTATTATTATTATTATTATTATTATTATTATTGTCTTCTGGACAAAGGGCAGAGTGCATGTCTTGTCCCACTGTGAAGGAGTTTCTTCTGCCTCCTCCAGGTCACAGAGCCTGTGTGCAGCGCTGCAGAGACCAGGACGAAGGTGCAGGTCGTCCTCCAGACTCTTCATCCTCGCCATAAAAGGTTGAAGGAGCCAGACACCTACACAGTGAGTCTTCATCACCAACACTGCACTTTTAAAAGTCACCAAACTTTAGAGACATTTTAAAAACTAGATTTCCCACACTTTTCCGCTAGGTCGCACTGTCAGAGAAACTCCATGACCTGGTGACAGAGGGGAAAAATGGCAGTTGTTGCGAGAGCAACTTTGTCCAAGACAACTAAAAAAAAGGACCGTGCACAGCAACAGCTGTCATCTCCATTTTTAAAAAAAAAAACGAATTATTTTAGTGATATTTTAAAAAGAGCAGTGTGTAAGACTCAAGGTAAATTATTCATGTATCCTGTGTTTATATGCAAGTTTTTGTGTCTAATTTTCTAATGCTTTTACGAGTTTGCACTCACCTGAGAGATAAATATTTTAATAATGTCAAAGCTATCCTTTTATGTCTGACATCAGGAGCACGACTCCTCTGAGGGTTGGGTTTTAAAACTTAAGTTGGGGGAGACTCACGCTCTCTCTCTCTCTCTGTCTCTCTCTCTCACACACACATAAAACAATAGAACAAACTTTGGTAAATCCTAAACAGTGTACCATTGTACATATTGTGCCTGTATATTCATATGTGTACTAAAAAAAATAAAACCAAAAATTTTAAAATAATTTTGATGACCTGTGTACTTTTTTCACTACTTACACAATTTAATTGGTTTCTGAAACACTTTCTTTAAGCAATGTTTCTTCTTCCAATTAATCCTAGTCCAATTAACTTAAAAGTCAAATTAATAATAATTCTTATTTAAGACAAGGGTTCTTAGCACCCCCTGCAGGGTTTTGTTAAAAGTTAATAGTAATATTTTCACGTTATTCAGTAGCCAATGTGGATATGGACAAAAACTGTTTGAATCTTTATGCAGAACTACACAGATGTTACACTGGAACAAAAACTGGACCAAAGCCGATGCCCCCATAGATGGCGCTGTGGCTTAGTTGGTTAAAGCGCCTGTCTAGTAAACAGGAGATCCTGGGTTCGAATCCCAGCAGTGCCTTTTCTGCCAGTTCTGTTATTGGCCCTACGTATTATTTGACATATTGACAATCGCTTTTCATACATCTTGTAATATTTATCTATTTATTTATTTTTACCTTTGTAGGAGTTCTTGGACTAACTTCCGTTTTATACCCCTTTCACGCTTTGCTGACTGCGGTTCTGCTGCAGGCCTGTAGAGGTCGCTCCTCTTCCAGTCTCCTCTGTCTATCCTCTCCCACTCTCCCCTCATCTTACCCTGTACTTACAGCACTACTGAGAGGAAAAAGAAAAAAAAAATCTGATCGAGCCTTTCCGGTCTGCTAGCCCTAATTTCCTCTCAAGACTTCTGTCGTTGGAGCAGGGAGAGGAGGCGCAGGCACAGCCGCAGACTGTGATCCAGGGGCGAGGAGAAACTCAGGCGGTGAAGACACGCATATCCCCCCACGGCTGTTTGGATTTACTGTTTTGTTTTGTTTTTTGTTTTGTTTTTGTTTTGTTTTAGTATTTTCTATTGACACTGATAGTGCTAGTAGAGGAGCAGAGTGTGAGGGTAACGGAGGAGAATGGTTCCTCTGTCGGATGGGAGCGCACACGGTTGTCGCCGCGGCCGCTCCGTGCTCCTCCATCCGCGCGTCCTTGCGTCTTCGTGATCCCGCTGCAGAGCGCCCGCCTGTGTCTGTGCTGTTGTCCGCCGGTCCACAGCAGCTTATCTCCGTCCGAGTCGACTCGGCATAACCCTGTGTCTATCAGTCCATTCTGCCGGAGCCAAGAGTGCGGATAGCCGTGTCGCCTCTGCCGCTCCAGCATCATTAACCGCGGCCGCGGCAGCAAGCGACGACGCGGCGCTATCGCAGAGCAGGACTTTTAAAGCCGGACTGTGTCCCCCCCGTTTTTGCTGTCTTGGACCAAAGGGACCAGGAGGAGGACGCAGAGAGGGTGGAAACCTGAGTCCAGCGGTGATGAGAACTCACCCCGAGTGGATTTCAGTGGTTTTTCTGCCAGAAGCATCTGGAAAGGATAACATAGGGATACACCACCCCCTCTTCTCCAGAGGAGCAGAGGAGACTTCACATCTCAGACATTTCAGGGTTTCACTTCTGTGGCTGCTGGGCTTGTGTGTTGTGAAATTGGTTCAGTTCCACTGAAGAGTAAATCTATCCACCTCTCGGCCACAGTTCGGCTACAGAACCATATTTTCTGGGACTGAGTCGTGTTGGATAACCTTTGCACACAGTAGTCGAATAAAAGGACTCTTATCATTTGCAGGAAACCAAGACGGTCCCGTGTTCTTGCCGGGGTTTCTCTTAACCATGCAGTGAAGATGTGTGCAGCCAGGTTCAGTGGCTGCCTCAATGGCTGTTCTGAGGAGGCCGCAGCAGGAGCCGCAGGTTTGACCATGGCCTCCAGGATGCTGGACTGGACTGAGGCAGGTCCCCGCATCCTCCACAGTCTGGAGATGGGCACGGTGATGACCGTGTTCTACCAGAAAAAGTCCCAGAGGCCCGAGAGGAGAACGTTCCACATAAGGCAGGACACACGGCAGATAGTGTGGAGCCGAAACCCTGACAAAATAGAAGGAGAAAGTAAGTCATTTTAATGATTTTAATGGATTTCTATTAATTGAATTTTTTAAGATGAATCAACATGGCTGATCAAAAACAGACTCAACACCCTGGTGTACAGGCTCAGAGCCTTTGTTAGTGTCGATGGTGCTATAGTGGTGAGCATAGCTGCCTTCCAAGCAGTTGACCCAAGTTCAATTCCCGGTCATCTCATCTTCTTTGGGGGCAGTGGTGGTTGAGGAAGCTTGAGGACTTGGGTACAGAAGGTTTCAGGTTTGAGTCTACCAGCTGCCAAGTTACCACTGAGGTACTCTGAGCATGGCACCATGGCACACACTGCTCCCCAGCTGCTTAAAGCTGCTCACTCTTCACCTTGGTGATAGGTTAAAAGTAGAGGTCACATATGGTTGGTGCAGTGGTGTGCTGTGTCACAATGACAAGTAGTTCACTTTCACTTAAGTGCTTTTATAGTCTGTGTTGGAGCATGTAGTGTCTCTTCCATTCATGCAGGGGGCGTTTACATGCTGTTTTAATGTCCTGGTCCAGTAGTTTTGTGTTTTGGTCATTGTTTTTGTTTAATGCTGTAATTTGGTCTAAACCAGAGGCTCTAAACACTGGAAGAAGACATTGCTTGAGGGAAAATGCAGGTCGGTGGCGTTGTCATAGCATAGGTCAGTACACCACCGTACGCTTCTAGTGGTCCAGAGGTGACAAAATGTTCAGATATTCCCGTAGCCTGTCCAGGGGCAGAGGGGAACCCGACTGCTGAGCACGGCTCAGCT